CTAAACATTTTTTCCATTTTAACCACAAGCACTGTATAACGGGACGACTGGACGAGTGAACTTGTACTGAGAAATGTACAGCACCGTGCAAAATACTTTATGTTATTTTGATCAATCATAATGATATAAGATATACCTATCAAATGGTGACAATCAGACATCTCCTAGTAATCAATTTTATTACACTAACAACAAAAAGTATACCACCGACCATCCGGTACTTGTTACCGCGATTTAGCGATTTATGCCATGTATTACATAATATACGCAATAATATTCTCCTACCACTATTAACACAATAATGTCCGTAAATAAACGAATATTAAAAGCGTTAATAATCTAAACATGATTATACATTTATTAATGTAAAGATGAACCATTACAAAAAAAATGTATTTAATATTATTGATTTGAGTGAATTTTCCTTGTCTGAAGAGTATAATAAATAATGCATAGTGTGTGGAAAAAATGTATTGATGTGAAACTGCCGAGTCCAATCGCCGAAATATTATTTAAATAATAATTACAGTAACTATATTCACAGAATTTGAAAGAATGGTACCATCGATATAACCACCGGTATCAATCAGTGAAATGGAAACTCTGACATACTGGTTACTTATATAGTTTACATATATTTCCACATTATACTGTTCATTTGAATTATATACTATAATAATAATTTATATAAATACCTATTTAAGTAAATTATGTATATTATGCTTTAAAYAATATTAATAAGTTAGATATAACTATATATGATAGTGGAACAGCTGGTTTATATATATGCATGTATAGTCAATAAAACGCATACTTTATTATAGTAGACCACATATCAGGAGATAACCATAAATATTATTATATGTGGGAGATAGGACTGTTCTATAACTTCTAGAATTTTGTTTTGATTGTACACAGAACACGCCACTTTTCCAAAATTCTGTATATACTATATATTTCAATAAATGATATACTGGCAGTGAAAATAACTTATTGAAATGGGACAAAAATTATTTTAGGAGTAGGTGTTTAAGATTTAGTTGTATTATTAACTAGCAGTAAATCCTTCGCAACAGTTACTTTCATAAAAATAGACAGTTTATTAGTTTGTGTGGTATATTTTTTTCTTGGCATATTTTATTATACATTGTATATATATTATATTATTGATTTATCAGCTAATATTACGTTTGATAATTTTTCATCAGGAAACGATATCTATGATAAAATATTTAAAGATCTCGATAACTCCAGTGACAATCGGTATATGTATAATAATTACCTCAAAATTTCACAGAATCAAAGACTAGAAATAATTAATAAACTTAATGTTTGTAACATTCACGGTTAGTAAAGTATTTAAATACCTTGAAGCAAAAACAGATTTAAATAAAATTATATGAAGATGATTTATTTTTAATTTTTTTTCATTAGTCTTTATTTCTATGAAACGAGGAATTTCAAAATGATTTTATAATATCTTAAATCTACCTAATACAGTAATACATTACAAGTATTCTAATAATAACATAATATAAATTAGAAGCGCATACATTTCGTTAGATATATACCACGGGAAAAATTAAATTTAAAAAAAAATTGCATTCAAAACGCTCTCAACGGTTGAACTTAAGTTATACTGAAGTGATGAATAAAAATTAAAAATCCTATACTTGTTAAATGTTATTGTTGCGTATACTTGTTATTAGTTGTATATAATAGCATTTATTATTCCAAGGGTATAAATGTATAATGAATACTTAGCATGAATCCACTGTAGTATAATATGATGAATAATAATGATAAATTGAAATATTGCAGCAGGTCGCAGGATATTTATTTTCTATTTACAATTTTTTCTACAGTATTGTAAATCTTAAAAATGTTCATTATTACTTTAACATTAAAATATCAAAAAGTTTTAAGTTAGAGTTTGGATAGAATCTTACATTAGAATTTTATGATGATAACAATTCGCTCTATAATACTGAATATCATAAAGTAAGATGAATTCTTCTGAATGCAATATTTGCAATGATATGCATAGTAATATGACATTCTCAACACATGCAGATAATGTATTTATTTTTAAATCGAAAAAAACAAAGATAACCATTAAAGGTTATGGAATATTTTGAAGTTATAATTAATGATTAATTTTAAAATTGAAAACCTTATTTGGCCATAAATATTAACGTCAGGAAGGCTATATCAATTTAAAAATATAATTTAATACTTTTTCTGAATGTAATATTATTAGTATTATTTTATTTGGTGTCTATATTATATAAACAATTTGGATAACATATTTATTGGTAATTATTTATTTATACAGTGTTAGGCTTAAATAATCAAATAATTACCTAGATAAGATAATGAATATTTTTTCAATAAAAATTTTAAATATATATAACTATCTACGTGAGATAAAGTATGATAGATTAATTTAAATACAACTATCTATATAATCTAGATAATCTCGTACTTAGAAAGTTTATAAAAACATATAGCTAATTATAAAATAAATTGTCATTGATATTTATTATTTTATTTATTTTATGTAACATAGACAGATTAGTATATTTTGATACTTGTATAATGCATATAAACAAAAAACATTTAAATACATAAACACGGTTAATAATTATGAAAGTTATTTTATATAAAATTTATATCTAATATTTATAATATTAATTTATTTATATCTAATAATTATATCATATTTAATTATATTTAATATGAACGTTTGATATTATACAACTTTATGCATTATGCGTAATATAAGACATAAATCAATTAATGTGGTAATTGATTGTTGTTTATTCTTTAGCCGACTTTACCACCTGACCAAAAGTCATTTTTCAAAAGAATTGTCTTTTAGATGATTTCTTCAAGTCGTGAATATTTGACTGCTTACACTAAATAATCTCTCAACTGCAGCTGAGAAGCGTAGAATTGTATTGTATATTTTGARAAACACTTATTTTACAATTGGCTACTGATTCTATATATGATGAGTTTTTGTTTCCTTTTTTTTATACCTAAAAGTTGGTGCTTGAACATTTTCTGTTATATTCCAACTGGGTACCGTAGATATATCARTACAGTCAGAACCAGACAGTTGAGATGATAAAATAATGCATTCAAAAAAGTCATCGCTGTCTTCAGAATAAATTTAGAACACTTGGTTGTAAGCTAGATACCAAAAAACTAATTATATTATTAACTTAAATTGTTTTTTAGTGTTTCGTTAACTGCTCTGATCTGTTTCTCGAACATAATCGTACTTATATCATTTTCTCATATATCTATGGAAACATTTACTTCTTTACGTACACAATTAGGTATAGGTAGTTATATAAAATTATATTTTATACTCGGAACCTAACCTAAATAGCAGAAAGCACGTTTCGTTTACGGTCACCAGACTTGGCAAACATTGGTATTAGTAATTATTGTTGTCAGATTGTGACTGTGTAAATTAATATAAAATKATGGCTATGGCAAATAATTGAATATTTTTAACACATCAGCTTATATATTTTAGCTTTCAACTTTCATCATAATTATGAATATCAGTGTTTTAAATAACACTAATTAACATGTCGAATACACATATGTACCGTGTACATTATGCTATATTATAATAATGAATAATAATGAGTAATGTATATTATTTTATGTTACCCTTACTGTGTTGAATTTACAATTCATATTTACATAATGTAAGGATTCAAAAATTGGCCTACATCGATGGACTCGGTGTATCTACATCATTACAGTAATGATAATTATTTGACCCAGTAGTCGGTATTATAATATAATATAATCGTTGTTGTATTATTTCCATGTCCCATCAAACCACTGACACTTA